TGGAGAGAGGATTCCAATGAAAGTGAAACTAGACAGTGGCACCCATTCTTATGCTAACAAATGAATTAGAAGATAAAAATGCAAATGAAGTAATTAGGAATCAGGGCAGAGCCTCAAATGCCACTATGGCAAATGGTCAGGGCATGATTTGAGAAGGTTTATGCTGAACACAAAGTATAGGATCATAGGGGGATAGTCCAGGTATCCAAATAGAACTGGGCAGGGCCAGCCAGCACATTCATAAATAAGTATTGCAGACCTGCTGTTTCTTTTCTGAATAGGTCAAAATCAGTGTGAATAAATGTAAAATACTAGAGAATACATATATTGGTCTCTGTCTCTGGTTCCTGACTGAGGGCTCCTTTGTAATTTCCTAAGTGATGGGCTCAAGAATCTGACATGAAGTTCCTAAATCCTTTGGAATTTCCTTCATGATAAGAACATCTTTTGTTCTAATGATGGCTCTTCCCAGGCTCCTGGATGAGGTCTGGTCTCCAGAAAGCCGTGACTAGGAGCATGGAGATGAGAGCAGGTATATGGGGCAATAGTCATGCCATTCTAAAATCAATTTAGCCTGCAAACAAAGGCTGAGTTTATTCTTAACCTTTATGCTGTTCTCCCTTTTTCCAGTCACCTTAACCCATTAGGTAACATTGTAACCAGGACAGAAGACAAAGTACAAACAAACCTACCTGTGCAGATAAAGAATGCTGGGATCCAGATCAACACAGTCACCTAAATAACCCTTTTCTTGAGGCAAAACTCCAAAGGAATTATTAACCACTTGTATACACCAGACCTTACACCAACCCCTACCCCAAGCCTTAAACCCGTAAGTAGGTCTCTCTGAGGTTGCCCACACTCCTGAGTGTATATTGTCCCTTTAAATAAAACCTGTTTGGTGCCCCTTGAGCTTTGTCTCTGACTTCTTTCTCATGACAAACAAGGATGAATACCTTAATCAGGCTTGAGAGACTCTCCACCAGTAGTGTCTTCATCACTTTGCTGTTGCATTCAACCTTCTTGTCTTTCTCTCTCCCTGTTTCATTTCTGACAAATTGGAAGCAGCTGTGGAAACCTCTGAGTAGAGAGGGGCTTGCACAGTCAGGTCACCTGGGTGACTGGGTGGAATTTCAACCTATGATCACATCCTTTAACAGCCTGCCCAAGTGTCTCTTTTCCTTTGCTTTGGGAAGTTCCCAGAACATAATCTCACTCCATCCAGTGCTCCTCAGCACCTCCACCCTTGGGACACAGTTCCCACCTTGTGTAGACTCAAGCAGCAGATATTGGGCACCAGGTGACCCTGGCCTTAGGAGTTGGCAGGGGATGTGCCCTATGCTGAGCAAGAGTTCAGTAAACTTCCCTTTTTTCCCCTCTGCTCTTCCTTGCTCTCTGCTGCACAAGTAAAAGAGCCACTTTCCCTGGAACTACACAACACTGACACTTGCTGCTACTTTCACTTTAACGAATCCCTTTCTTACTTGCACTTGTTCCACCTGTTCTTCACAATCAGGATCAAGAGCCCTCTCCTGGGTGAGATCTCTCCTAGCTGGCAAGGGAGACCTCCCTGGAGTGGATTTCCCAACAACAGAACTTTCAGAACCCCTTTGCTCATTCTCCAAAGAAGGGAAACTGGAGACAGGCTGGAAATGGAGTTTATAATCCATTATGCCTACTTTATGAAACCTCTGTAAAATTCCCAGTGGTCAAAGGTTCAGGGAGCTTCCAGGCTGGTGAACACATCTACGTGCTGGGAGGGTGGCTGCTCCAGGTCCACAGGAACAGGGGCTCCTGCGCTCAGAACCCTTCCAGACATTGCTTTATGAATCCCTTCATCTAGCTATTCATGTGTATATTTTATTATGTAATAAACCAGTAATGTAAGTGTTTCCCTAAGTTCTGTGAGCTGTTCTAACAAATGCATGAATCCAAAGGAGGGCCATGGGAACCTCCAATTTGTAGCCAAGTTTGCCAGAAGTTATGGATTACCTGGTGACCTTCCACTTGCGAATGGCATCTGAAGTAAGAACAGTCCTCTGGGACTGAACACTTAACTTACGGGATCTGCACCAACTATTCATGTAGTAATTGAACTGAGTTGCTAGACACCTAGTTAGCATCAGAGAACTGGTAAGTGTGTGCAAAATAACACACAACTTGTGTTAGAAGTATTGTAATGATAGAAAGAAACAGAAGGATTTTTTTAGACAGTAAATAAACATTACTATGTACACTTCACCGCCTCTGTCTCTCCTGCCTCCGTGGAGGCTGAGAAGGGAAACCTGGAAGGAAAAGGGCAGGTTATATATAACAATTCTCAGGATGACGGCTTTGCTCTTAGAAAGATTTCAGATTCAAAAAATAAATACCCAACGTTCAGTATTGGCTAAATTAAGGCATATCTAATTAACAGAATGCTGTAGAGCCATTAAAATCATGGAAAAATATTTTGGAATTATGCAAATTATGGAAAAATTATGGAAGACATTTAATCATATGAGGAAATGATGGCAATACAGTGTTTGGTGAAAAATAATTTTTAAAGTATGTAACATGACACTGAGAATAGAATAATGAATAAAGCTGAAAAAAACCTGCCTGTAGGTAACTTACATTCTACGATCACAACAAAATATGAATATTATATAGATATTTGGGTATTGTCTGTCTGGCACCTTTTTGGAAACCAGCCATTTTCCACTCCGATATTAATAATTTTTTTGGTCCTTGATCCTACTAATATAAGCCTGTTGTAACTGTAACCTGTCAGGGAATTCAATCCTCTGGCTAGAGGGAATGTTACATAATAAGCATGTGATCTCAATGAGGACAATCAGAATCTTCATTGAGACTTTTGTCAGATCCAATATCAGGAGAAGTTCTCTCCTCCTGCTATAATTGTTAAGCTTTTTAGAATGGGGATCTTAGTCTACCCCTGGTCATCATGCCCACTACTTAAAGAGAACCAGACTGAGAATTGGAAAGAGGAAACCAAGATAACCTCTTTTTTTTTTAACTTAAGGCTATTTAAGAGACATTTCCTTACATTGCGAAGAGAAAAAGTCCTAGCTAAAACAAACATATCATGGGGATATCAGCTTGAACCTAGGTTTTGACAACATATCCGAACATATTGGTGGGGCCAGAGGAGGCATCTGTTTGCACACATTGTTATGCAGAGGAAAAAACGTCCTGCTAGACTTAGAGGGAGAGAAACAAAGGCTGCATAAAACAGAATGGTATTGTTTCCAGCCCCACACATTATGCTTGAGCCCTAAAAAACGAGCAGATGCTGTTACAGGGAAATGTTTTTGTGAAACTCTCTGTGAGGCATGTGGGCCAAGCACCTCTGCTTGGGTCCCAGGATAGCAACACGTCAGGTGGAGCATGGAACACAGCACAAATCTGCCATAGTGACAAACTCAGGGCATTTGGCCCATTTTTGTTGCTCAATGTTTTGCAATTTAGGGAGGATCTGAAGACAATTCACTTGGCAAATTATCAACGAAGATAAAGACATCAGGCAGAGGAAGAGCTGTCATTTTTGCAGGCGACCTTAGAGTGTGGAAGACATGCTTGTTAAAGCCACAGGAGCTACTCCTGGCCAGGCCTCAAGTAACATGATGCAGTATTGAAGTGGGCTCAGGCTCTTACATTGACGGGAGGGAGCACAGGTCAGTGAAGTTTAAGATAATTACTGTTGCTTCAACTTCACTTATGCCTTCAGAGTGATGATGTCTGGAGATTTTCAAACTCCATGTTTGGAAGAATATATACCAAAATATTATAATGGTGTTTTGGAATGATAGGATTATGAATGACTTATTTTCTTCTCTGACCTTTAGGTTCCCCCAAAATGTTCTATAATGAAATTATATATCATAATCTGTAAACAAACACACAAGGCTATATATATACACATATATATGTGCATGTGCACGTGTGTGTGTATGTGTGTGTGTGTGTGTGTGTGTGTATTTAAAGATATTCATTCCCTGGGCAAGGAAAATAAAAGCAAAAACAAACAAGTGGGACTACATAAAACTAAAAAACTCCTGTACAGCAAAGGATATCATCAACAAAGACATCCTATAGTATTGGAGAATGTATTTGTAAATGATATATCTGATAAGGGGTTAACATCCAAAATACACAATGAACTCATATGACTCAACACCAAAGAAACAAACAATCCAATTTAAAAAATGGGCAGAGGACGTAAACAGATATTATCCCAAAAAATCCATACTGATGGCCAATAGACACATGAAAAGCTGCTCCACATTGTTAATCATCAGGGAAATATAAATTAAACCACAATGAGATATCACCTCACAGCAGTTACAGTGGCCACTATCCTAAAAAGACAAGAAGCAACAAGTGTTGGCAAACAAGTGGAGAAAAGGGAGCCCTCCTACATGGTTGGTGGGAATGTAAATCGGTGTAGTCACTACGGAAAACAGTATGAAAGTTCCTCAAAAAACTAAAAATAGAAATACCATATAACCCAGTAACTGCACTAGGAATTTACCCAAAGAAAACAAAATTCATGATTCAAAAAGATATATGCAAACCTATATTTATTACTGCATTATTTACAATAGCTAAGATGTGAAAGTAACAGTGTGTCTGTCAATAGATAAATGGATAAAGAAGATGTGGTACATATACACAATAGAATAATATCATTAACATCTTATTAATATGACACAATATAATAAAATAATTTATTAATAATAATAATAATATTCACCCATTAAAAAAAAGAAAGAAATCCTGCCATTTGTGACAACACAGAAAGACCTAGAGGGTATTATGCTAAGTGAAATAAGTCAGGCAAAGAAAGATAAATACCATATGATTTCACTTATTTGTGGAATCTAAAAAACAAAATAAAACAAAATGAACAAACAGCAATAGACTCACAGACAATGAGAAGTAACTGATGGTTACCATAGGGAAGGAACTGGGGTGGATGGGTGAAATAGATGAAGTGGATAAAAAGTTACAAAATCTCAGTCATAATATAAATTAGTCACAGGGATGAAAGTATACTGTAGAGAATATAGTCATTAGTTTTTTAATGTATTTCTATGTTGAAAAGTAACTACGTTAGGTGGGGTGAGGATTTAATAATGCCAATAACTGAATAATGTATGTAACTGAATAACTGTGTTGTATACTTGAAGCCAATATAATATTGTATATCAACTACATTTCAAAAATATATATACCCACAGCAACAACAGCAAAAAGATATTCATGGGCCTTCTGAAAGTATCTGTCAAATCTATCCCAGAGCTGGTAAACCTTCTCAAGAAACAATCCCACAATTTCAAGTTTACAGTGAATGAAGAAAATATAAGAACCTAAGAACTTGGAGACTCAAGAGTTGGAGGGCAGCACCAGGAAAATTGACTTTTCTTCATTTATCACCAAAATCATCAGCAATATCATCTCAGAAAGTCATCTGAGGATCAAAGAAATTAGAATTACTTGTATTGAATTCATGGGTTTTCACATTTTTAGGTATGTAAAATGTAATTTAGAGTCCATTTGAGGTACTGTCTATTGTTTGAATGACTAAATATGTAGGTATAGATAGCTATACACATGGATATAAACATAAGACATACATATAGATAAAGTAGCCATAGGCTTAGATGTTGGTATTTTCTCATTGGGGCTTTCTGAATCATCCTTCAGAGCCAGCCTATAGTTTCCAGTATTTCTCAACCCAAATTATTCCATCCCCCAAATTTACAGGATCCAAATCTAATTTTCAGGGAGGAATTATTACAGTCTAGTCCCTAGGCGACTTTCTCTTTCATTGGTTTTATATGTTTTTTTAAAATATATTCATAATAGAACAGTGGTGTACAGAGTTCAGGAAGATTTAAAAGAAAGGACATAAATTTTATGTAAAATGCCAAAGACTTATAGACATATAAAGAGCAGAAGAAAAAATTCTAAATATACTGCATTTATATTTAGCAATTTAGATAGTAAGTTTAAGATTGTTAACATTTTTACTTCAAAAAATATACAATTTTAAAATACATCAGCAAACAAGATTTAATAATAAATTTTTACTTGTAAATGAATTTTGTGGATCACACATTACACTAAAAATCATCTGTTTAGTTTAATATAAACTGCATTGCTGTTGCTTTCTGTATATATTAGTTGTATAAGTTTTGCCATAGATTAATTCCATAACTTATAAAGAAAAGGAATCCCAGTCAGTATGAATTCAAAACTTTTGTTGTTCAATTTCTGAAAGATAATATGCTTATGAATTACATTACACATAAGTATTTTTTTAAATGATACATACTGCAAATATGTGATACATCTCAACTTCAAATGCACATCTCTTACAAACAAAGAAATGGATTTTAGATACATGTTATCTACACAATGATCTTACTAGAATAAAGAAAATAGAAAGTAAGAAAATTTCTTACTTGACAACTACATTTCACAACTCTGAGTCATCACTCACACAGCAACCCTGGATGCCATCTGAGAAATTTTATAGAGACGGTTAATAATTGCTTCCTAAAAAATAAAACAGAATAAGAAACATCCTGCAGTTTAACCTCTGGAGATACTATTTTCCCCTCTTCCTATGGCTGACTGCTTATTTTGCGTCTCATTACCAATTGACTATTTTCTCTGGTCTTTAATAAGATTCCACTCTGTTTCTGGCAAATCATTTGCACTAATAATTTCCTTCTCAAGCGCTCTCTATAGCCTCAGATGAGCGATGACTTGTTGCTCTGCTAAGAGCTCATTTGCCAGACTGCAATTTTGGTTCCAGAAAAATTACCTCTTTGTAACACAGACGGTGGCAATGATTCATCACACCTTGATGATCATGTTGCTCTGGAATGGAAGCCAGGTTCCCTGGGCAGGTATTCTGTTGCCATCTGCTATGGTTCGAGGTGATACTGAACTTTTCTCTCCTGTATGACTTGAATTTGTTGCAACATTTGCAATACCCAAAAGACTCTCTGAGTGGAGAACTGCATATTCTTGTAGGGTGAGTCTTTCTGTGTAAATACAAAAAAAGAAAAAAATTGTAGTCCCTGGACACATTCATCACTTCTTTGGTTAGGGAGACAGTTACATAATTTTTGCTAACTTTATTATACATTTGCTTTGCCAAATTAAATCCAAGGCTTAAAATTACATTGCTAGAAAGCCATTCTGGCTCAGCAACCAAGAAGAAGACTGAAAATTTGATTTTTGACAGAATCAATTCACTGGGCTTTCCCACTCAAAAAGTTGTTTGCCAATTCAAATCCTGAAAGGAGTGACACTGCCTTGCCTTAAGCAGACTCGGAATATGCGGAAATTTGACCTCAAAGCTACCTTTTGAGGCTATTTTCTTAACTTTCCCAGAAATAGTAAGCAGCCCATGGAGTAAACACGGGTTGGACTATGGAGTCTCATGCAAGGATGTGTGTGAAGACGCCAATCTAGGAGAATACCTTCCTCCAGAATGATACATAAAAAGTGATGGGCTAGAAGTTTCCAGAATTATTACAGAAAGAAAAGGATACATACAATTTGATTTGTTTCTATCCATAAAAAGTTTTCTCCACTATGATTTTGGAATTCAAAAATGAAGATTAAGAGGGAGATCTCACCGAGGTAAAACGCAGACTCTATAACTGCAAGTTATACCCTTGAAGGTCACAATATATTAAGGACATTATTCTTGGAGGAAACAACCGAGCATCTAGGATGGAAAGAATTATTTATCCCCCAACTTCCCTCCTCCAGGAGGCAAGCTCTGAGGCATGTTCTACATTGTCCCCCTGAGATCTCCAATGGGATTGTGTCCCAGTTGCCCACAGTGATAAGCCGATCAACAATTTACCCTGCATTTGTTTCCTTCCCTCTGTCTCTTGCCCCTACTCCCTTGGATCATCTCCTGAGAAACTCCTTGCTCACAAATTCTTGTTCCAGTATCTTCTTGTGAGCAAACTCAACCAAAGATGAAATGCATGTGTCCACAAGTCCCTCTGAGCTATATGGACACCCCGTCTCTCCATTTTCAACTGTGGTAGGCAGTCTAGGATAAGAAGCAGTACAAACTCAGTCAGCAAATAGAAAGGAACTCTAGGGCTTCTTATAAAGGGCTTAGTATAAATGGACATCAACCCCACACACACTATATCTTTTTCCTAGGGCTGCCATCACAAATAACCAAACCTGGTCACTTAAAACAACAGAAATTTATTTCCTCCCAGTTCAGAAGCCTGATGACCAAAATGAAAGTGTCATACTCACACTGAAGGCTCCAGGGAAGGATCCTCATTTGTCACTCCCTGGCTTTGGGGGCTCCTGGCAGTCCTTGGTGTTCCTTGGCTGGCAGCGGCCCAGACCAGGCTCTGTCCGTGTTCACATGGTTCTCTTCTTCGTGTCCCTCCACACCTTTACACGGCATTCTTGGAAGGACACCAGTCATTGGATTTAGCCCCACCCCCCAATCCAGTATGACCTCATCTTAACTTGATTGCCCCACCCCCCAATCCAGTATGACCTCATCTTAACTTGATTGCATCTGCAATGACTTACTTTGCAAATAAGATCACATTCACAGATCCTGGGGGTATGGATTTGAGCATTATCTTTCTAGGGACTCAATTCAACCCCAGCATGCTACATCCACCAGCTGTACAGAAAAATCAAGGCAAGTAGCCTTCGCTCCCCACTCGCTCACACCGAGTATTATGATGATGTTGACAATAATAATAATGGTGATAATGATAATTTTAAAAATCTGCTCTAGCCAGGAAGCTGGCTCTTAGCAAGCTAGGATAGACAGAAAACCCATGGCCAAGGCTTCCTGCTTGTATCTGCTTCTGACCTTCCTTTCTAGGCTAGCTGTAGTCTGAGAAGGCAGAACTGCCTTGAATCTCTAGTCCTCTCTTTCCTGAGAATAGTAAGAGCAATTCCGACCAGATAGTGCCTTCTCTCGGTGAGGTGAGAGCCAAAAGCAGCAGCTCAGCCATCCCTCCCGTCCCTGACCTTGGCTGAAGCCTGTTGCAGTCACTCGGGATACACAGGCCACCAGGAAGAGAGCAGCCACACGACATTCTCTCTGTCAGCCCCTTGCTTTGAGAGCGTCCTCGTTAAAGACAATCTCTCTTTCAAAAGCACATCTGATTTCCAAGTTAAATATTCCCAGGTTTTTGAGTAATTCACAAACTGGTCGCGGCATTTGAGCCACATAAATGTAGTTATATTCACCTTCTTTGATGCAATTTCTCTTTTGACTACTAATTAGAAAGCATTGGAAAGGAAAGGGATGCCTATCAAACAACCAGAGTAAAATGTCCATCACTAATTATCTGAAAGCTTGAAGATGCAGCTTTCTGATTAGCACAGGCCTGGAGAAAAGCACAGCATAAAACCGGACATTTATTCTTCAATTAGAGAGCATAATAATTACTGCCTTCCAGATATCCTGGGGAGCAATACTTCAACTTCATCACTCCTTGAATAGAAAAGTAATTTAAAAGACAAAGAAGTGTCTATTTAGATTCTGTGAACATAGTATCAAACTGCTCTAGTGTGGAAGGCACTCTGACATTTTTTCAGCTTTTATCTCTTAATCCAATTAGTCTTTTGCCAAGGTAAAAACAAAAAGAGCTGTTCAAAATATTATATTTACAGTGCTATCTCAACTATCTAAAAACAAACAATTTTTAGAAGAAAATAAAACATTTTAGACAACAAATTACTTACTTTCAGGATGTGATTGTGAAGTTTCATTGTTTTCAGTATTTTTCTGTTTGAGAGCCAAAAGCAGCAGCTCAGCCATCCCTCCCGTCCCTGACCTTGGCTGAAGCCTGTTGCAGTCACTCGGGATACACAGGCCACCAGGAAGAGAGCAGCCACACGACATTCTCTCTGTCAGCCCCTTGCTTTGAGAGCGTCCTCGTTAAAGACAATATCTCTCTTTCAAAAGCACATCTGATTTCCAAGTTAAATATTCCCAGGTTTTTGAGTAATTCACAAACTAGTCGTGGCATTTGAGCCACATAAATGTAGTTATATTCACCTTCTTTGATGCAATTTCTCTTTTGACTACTAATTAGAAAGCATTGGAAAGGAAAGGGATGCCTATCAAACAACCAGAGTAAAATGTCCATCACTAATTATCTGAAAGCTTGAAGATGCAGCTTTCTGATTAGCACAGGCCTGGAGAAAAGCACAGCATAAAACCGGACATTTATTCTTCAATTAGAGAGCATAATAATTACTGCCTTCCAGATATCCTGGGGAGCAATACTTCAACTTCATCACTCCTTGAATAGAAAAGTAATTTAAAAGACAAAGAAGTGTCTATTTAGATTCTGTGAACATAGTATCAAACTGCTCTAGTGTGGAAGGCACTCTGACATTTTTTCAGCTTTTATCTCTTAATCCAATTAGTCTTTTGCCAAGGTAAAAACAAAAATAGCTGTTCACAATATTATATTTACAGTGCTATCTCAACTATCTAAAAACAAACAATTTTTAGAAGAAAATAAAACATTTTAGACAACAAATTACTTACTTTCAGGATGTGATTGTGAAGTTTCATTGTTTTCAGTATTTTTCTGTTTTCTACGTTTTCTATAATGAACATGTGCTGTTAGTGTTTTATCATTAATGGTTCAATATGTGTTGAATACCTATAATGTACATGCCAGTATGCCAAGAAAATTGTGTATATTATCTCATTTAATTCTGACCAAAAGGAAAAAAAAGAATCTACATAGGAAGTACTATCTCCATTAGGTATTTTGCCTAAACTCACTCCCTGATCTACAGAAGATTCAGAATTCAAACCCAAATCTACATAATTTCATTCTGTCACCCATGTATTATTTTTATAATCATAAAATAAAGGCTATTATAAAATAGTATCCCTTTAAAATATTGGAAGCAACTGGTATGACACAAACATCCTAAAATACAGATAAAAATCATACACTTAGAAAAGATAAGAACCTGTAAAAATAATTATCTCAGATTTACCCAATGTCATTTACCAGATGCTCAGTGGTCTTTAGGCATGAGAATGCATATTACCACCCATACATCTGATACAGTGTCTGGAAATCAGGGGCAATCACAGGCAGATTGTTCAACTCTCTGAGGAGAGCCAAGGCAGTGACCTGAGTGTGCGTCAACCTCTACCACTTACAAAGTTTTGTGAGCTCAGTTTGCTTGTTCTTTCTGAGATCCCATGTTTTCATTTGTTCTTTCATCTATCCATTAATTCAACAAATATTTCTTGTGTGCCTAATATGCCAGAACCCAGTTAAGTGCAGTCAATAAGGGAAGCAAGGTCTCTGTCCTCAAGGAGATTCTCCATCCTTCATCTTTGGTGCCTCAGCTTTGAATAAAGAGAAAGACTTGTGTCAGTTGGGGTTGTTGCTGGGATTGCATGAAATAAAGTAAAGCACTTGACACAGCATCTAACATGTGGAAGGTGCTCAATAAATTTTTCCAGTGGTAGAATCTTTTTTTCCAGCTACAAAATAGAATTTATCTTATCCCACTTGGCTAGCTACGAGAGTACTGATTTCTATAATCCTTATGAGTCCTCTGCCCCACCCCAGAAAAATGCCTTGATTTTTAAAAGATGGTTCAGAGGATGAGAATTTAAGTATTTTATTCTAGGCTTTCAATAGATTAAACTTCACTTACTTTTCAAATGTTTTGTTCAGACTATCAAATTTTGCAATGCCACATTTAAAACCCCCATATAAAAATGGATAATTCGCTAGGAGAACTCTAAGAATACTTATTCTTAACTTTCAATGTCTTAAATAGGCAAATTCTTAAGATCTTAGCTTTTATGTTATAAGAAGTTAAGGGAGAAGTTTGGTAAGACCTATGTGAAGCAAGTTCCTCCTTTTTAAAGACTTCCAGATAGGTATCTTGAGATCTAGGCCAAAGTAATCTCCATCGCTTTTGAAGAAATATGTTTGTGTACATGTGTCAAATGATATATGGTTCCTGGAATGCACATTCAATATCTTGGGAGCACAACATTTGAGCTTTCATCCAGGGATTTACATAGATTTCTTAATACTCCACACACTCCTAGTAAAGTTAGACATCGACTCCAGCAGCTACTGAAATTGGAAGATATTGAGCACTTTACCAAGTTATGCTAGTCAGTGCCAAGGCCTGAATGTGAACCCCTCACCTGACTTCACAACCTTTTTTGATGACACCGTGCCCACACTCCAGCAATAGGAAATTCATTACTTCCCAAAGCTCCTCATTTCTTCAGAAAGCTGTTACAATTCAGAGTTCCTCCTAACATTGAGCTGAAATCTATCCCCTTCTAGCAGTTACTATCAGCTCTAGTTTCATCCTTTAGTTAAATTAGTTCGTCTCACTCATCTTCTGCATGAAAGCCCTTCGAGTATTGGGAAGCACCTTTCACTTCATCCCTCATCCTTCTCTACCAAGATTTCCTTTCTGCAGAACTAAATAACCCATTCTTCCACTGCTTTTTAGATTGCATTGTTTTGAGTCCTTACCCTCTCCCTATTCAGTTCCAATAATCATAGTAATTTGTTTATATCACTATTAAAATGTGATGCATGGAATTAAAAACAATACCACAGGTGTGGTCTGAAGAGTACAGAGCTGAATTACATTATTGCCATTCCTGTCCCGGACATTACACTGCTATTTAAGTAGCTCAATAGCAAATAGCCATTTTATTCCAGCTACTTCATGCTGCTGGCTCACATAATATTTGCTGTCCTCATTATAAAGCTACTAGGTCGTTTCTACATGTGCAACTATGAATCCACATTTTCAATATACTATTCCTGACATTTCTTTTTCCATTTTAAGCTATATCTCTTAGATTGGGGAAGTTGGAATGATGGGTCAAGGCTTTTGATTTGTTTCTGCCATTCAGTGGATTCCTTCTCCTTCACAGCTCCATTCCATTGTCAACATGACCTCCCAAATCACTGAGTAAAAAAATTGACCACACAGGGAAAAGAATAAGGTTTGAAATTCTACCCCTCACCCTGTAGACTTCTTTCTGGGCTGACGTGAATTCACACATTTGCAGCTTGTAGACAGGGTCAGTGTATTCACTTAAGGGTTCACCTGATGGTACTAATCTTCAGCCCATGTGCTCTTCCTGGATTCCTCCTCCAGGATTCTAGGAAAGACCATAACAGATCCTTTGCTGACATCCAGACATTCCTTGTCTTCTGTGTGCTCCACATACCCCCAGGATGGTAACCTGGTACTCTGGACCATCTTTGTTATAGGATGTACAAAGCCCTTGATTTCTTTCTTGTTTTCTTACTTTACCCATAAGGAATTACTCTCAGCAAATGCTTATCTTGGTGTTGCTAAAGTTCTGGACTACTTCTTTCTAGACAAGGCTGGCTTACGGGCATACTACCTATATGCAGAGCCCCTCTCTCAGATGGGCCCCCACTCAGCTTAACATTCTCCTGGCACCATCTTGAAATATTAACAATTTCACTTATTTATCAAATTTTTTATTTATCTAAATGTTGAATCTAAATAGTAAGCTAAAAAAATGCCATGACAAGTCAAGGTACCAACCACAGAGGGAAAAAGCTTTGTAGTTTGGCATATTTAATGGAACTATTTTTCCTGCTTTTTGAACAGAAGTTGCCACATTTTCACTTTGCACTGAGCCCACAAATAATATAGCTGGCCCTGCTTCCAGATAGACATTTAAAATACTTAGCAACAAGTACAGCATGTGCCCCACCTAATTGGACTAATATCTACCCAGTCAGAAATTGGTGCTAATTGGTGTGTGGAACTGCAGCATACCTGATGAACATTGGCCTTGCTTCTTTTTGTTTTGTTTACATAGTTTCCTTCAGAGCATGTAACATTATGGAATCCCTTGACATATACTGCAGAATTTCAGGCCTGTGTCATCAACCCTACCCCCTCTCCCCCACTTACCTGTCTCTGAACTGCTACACTGCATCAAACCATCTTTGTTCTTCCCTTGTTCTGGACCTCAAAGCCAAATAAAAGACATCATTTCCAAAGAAAGTTGAAAATGATAATTCTATTAGAAACTTGCAAAAGTTGTGCAGACCGTTTGCTGATCTACCATTTCCCATGGAGACCATCCCTAAGTCAGATCTATCACATTTTCATTTCTTAACTTCATGCCTTGAAGGATTTCAGGTCAAGGAACCTTGGGGCACCAAGTGCTTTTTCAAAGACAAAGGGAGAGGTAATTGTTATAAACTTACTTATATGTCAGCCCTCTGATGAAGGTCACAGAGTTTTGCCTTCCAAACTCACTGATCACTCAGTGTTCTTGCACATACAGATTGGGAGACATGAAACTGAAATGCAGTCATAGCAAGGAAACTGTCATTCTTTTTCCTTTGAAATGAGGGAAAACTATTTCTTTCAACATTCATTCCCAGCGGAAGGTCAAGTATAAGCTTGGTCTTTGGTGCCATTTCCTGACTTACCAATTAGCACTCACAATGCCGCCCTGACTTCCATCCTGGTCCTGCCCAGGGCTGAGGCTTCAATCACAGCAAGTCAGATTCTCATCACTCTGTTTGTATATCCTCTTCTGTGACATTTCCTCCAACTAATATCCCTCTTCCTAAAATGCTTTCCCTCTGTCTTTGTCTATGTGTCCCATATATCTTTAAAGTTTTAGTTCAAGTTGCACTTCTCTGATAAATTTTCCTCCTTTCCTCTACAGTTTCCTGCATTACTGTTTTCAAATTTTCCATCTTTAAGCCAATATCTCAATGTCTTAACAAGATCCAATTCATCTTTGAGTTTCACAATTAGGTGACATAGTTCAGGTGCACTGAAAACTGATTAGTCACAAACATCTGTGAAATATTGAAATCTATTCAGCATAACAACGAACATCAGCTGAGTTCAAATTCTGCTTTTCCTATTTTCAAGCATATGGTCTTAGAAAACCCTTTGACCTTTATAAATGTGTGTGTTTATTTGGTAGGAGTGTTACAAGTGTGAAATTCTCCTTTCCTAAGACAGGTTGTACAATACCTGGCAGAGCAAGCATCGACTTAATAGCTACCAGTATTAGAAAACACTCCACCACTACTTGTCTGATGATTCATCATTTCAGTTCGAGTTAGCACTAAAAATAGGCAGTATTTCACACCAATCAGTTTTGTGGAAGATAAATATCTATGTTTTTTTACTAATATATTAATATCATGTTATATAATAACATTTTTGATATTATATATTATTAAAAATATAGAGAGTGAGTCTTTGATGTTGGTAAGAATATTAGCGAAACAGGGAACATGTCAGTGAGAACTAAAATGAAAACAACTACTCAGGAGATCAGAAGTGGATGTGTAGGTGTGTTAAGCAGAATCCAATATGCTATAGGGCATCAAGTGTGATTTTATGGTTTCTTGGTCCCTACAGGCAAGAAAGATAAAAAATAATCTACATTTCTTCTGAGGATCCCTTGAGGAATATCTTGACTGCTCTATTCTTGTTGGGCAGGCATTTAAATCCCTACTGACCTGGAGCAGATAAAAACTATAGGACATAGATGAGATTTATGTGGCAACCTCATCATTTTTTCTCACCTCAGTGACCTTAGTCCCCAGAATGTCATTTTTTGTAAAGTGCATCCACACTAGAGAATTTAACATGTTGTCTTCATTTTGTTTATTTCTTCAAAATCCCGCTCTACAAAATTCTTGGCCTTTCAGCTCCAGAAATTATTTCTCAAGGATACATAAAAGTGTCAATGTTACCAGGCAGGCTTATGATGCATAGCATACTTCTTGCTGCAGCAGAGGCGATGGAGAAAGTATTGCTTTCAGTCAAACCCTGACATGGGGCCAAAAACCAGAGCATGTAATCCATTCTCCAGTGGAACGGCTTCTAAGTGTGCAGAGGTGTGGTGATACACACGTGAGATGCACACCACACATCAGGAGAGTCAAGCCAAGCTGTAAGATGAGAACTTGAAGAACCCCTCAGAATTGTTCTCTCATTAGCCAAGTAGGAATTTTGAACTAAAATGTATTGCAAATGTGTTTGAGACACTTAGAGGTAAGCATTAAGAGAACATGCTCCTCTTTCATTCAACTAATCTGCATTTATCCTTTAGGGCTTAACTCAGCAAGCACCTTCTCCAAGAAGCTTTCTGTGATCCCCAGCACATCCATCAACCCCACCACCCACCCACCATTGCTACAGGCACCATCATTGTTGTCTTCAGCCTCCAATTACCACCACTGCAGCCAGCCTGCCTAGAGAACTGTGTGCATGGCTCATACTGAGGCAATATCACACCATATTTAACTGCCACTTGGTACTCTGTCAAATAAGATCTAGACTTGTTTTGGGGGACTAGGGACTGCTTTTGTTCATGTTGCCTCCCCAGTGCCTAATAAGGAGCCCATCTGTGGTAGACACTCAAAAAATGTTTGCTGAATGAAGGGACAAATCTAAAAACATAATTACTGTTCAGAAATGTTTGCAGTATAGTTTCTTCTTTTCAACAAATTATAGCCAGATTATCACAGCACAGAAATTACCTAGTAACTTCATTAATTCTTCCCAGTCATTAAGGAACACTAAAGAAGCAATTACTGAATGATACTCTAGTGGCCAAAAGAGGTTCTGTGGCTAATTCCAAAAGTAATTTTCTGTGCAGAGTTTACCCACAAGAAAAATATGACTAAATGCTTCTTAAGACCACAGGTTGGGGAGCAGTAAAATAATTTAGCAGATTGTGTCTTTAAAGACTCTCTGAGAAATCACTATATGGTGGGTATATTACCTGTTGGAAACCAGTTTTGAGAATCTGTTGTAAGAAAATCCCACTCTTCCATTACGTTTATTTGTGACTTAGATTTCTACACAAGGGAATTTATGCTGAGCTCTAACATGGATTGTCAAATTGCTCACCATTGACCCTTGAAGAATAAGGGGGAAAATCTGAAGTTACTTTGTTTATTTCTAAAGGTTGTTCCTTTTCTTTGTGAGCCTTGCCCATGCTTTAAAGACAATGGAAAGAACAGGATAAAAGGGGGAAAGAAGTGGAGAGAGAGCTAGAAAGGGGAAAATGGAAAAGTTTTAATATGTGTATATATATATATATTTATAAACCCAATGTCGCGTCAGTCATTATGGCCAAAAAACAATAATTTTGGAGTCCATAACTTCTAGTAACATGAAACTCACTTCCTCTATCTGGTTCTGATTCTGATTCTACCAATTACACAACAATGAAAATACCATGTGACATTGATGTTGTGACTTCAATATTCTGTTCCTGCAAAATTTTGGGAACTGGTATTGTTTACCAAAAGGTCTCTTCATGTTCTATGATTTCATAAACTTGAACAAATATGTACCAAGGATTTCCTGTTTTCCCTTCTGTCTCTCTCTCAGTTAGAAAACCAAGGCCAGTCCTGACCTCTCAGGCCTCCCTCTCTTCAACAGTGTACTTCTGCCTTGCTAAATAAAATCATCTTCCAGGCTTTTCAAAAAAAAAAGAAAGAAAGAAAGAAAAGAAAACCAAAGGGCCATGTAAAGGAGAAAAATACAAGTGAGAGCCTACCCAGGGATCTCAGAGGTGTTTTTTTTTTTTTGTTAAGCTCACACAGTGAAAGAGAAGTTGCCATATTCTGCTGCCAAGCTTGAGGAGAGTTATAGACACAATAACTTTGCTTGAATTTTAGCTCCTTTATCAACCAAATTCCCCAGGGTTTTAGTGTTGATTTCATTCCAATGATTCAACACCTTACAACAAAAGAAAATAAGACGGACAGGCAGACTTACATAATTCTCCTGGCTGTTGTTGTCACTGATACCTTTAGTCAATATTTTCCCAGAAAAGATGTAAATCTAGTCCAAGAAATAAATAAAATATGTGTAATAATACAAAAATATAAAATCTATGCAAGTCTCATGTATCCATGTGTTTGCCATCCAGAACTCACTAAGGAGGGATAATCTAACCAGTTCTCACCCCAGCCCCTTCTCCAAATTAGAGAACAAACATATGTATCTGTTTGAGGAAGCATATATATATGTGTGTGTGTGTGTTTATGTATAGAAAAAAAGGTGAGCTGAAATGTGACAAAGAAATAAGCAAAGGTTGATTTTGCTTTTCTATTAAGAATTAGTGTCTCACCAATGTATCACCATGGTTTTGTATTTTTTTTTACTTTTTTTGGCTTTTCTTATTAACATTATTTATAAAAGTTTTCTCTTTTAAAATGTCAGACGATTTCAGCTGACAGATCTCCTTGCCCTCACTGAAAAACCAAGACCAGCTATGTATCCCAGAAGTCTGGAGCAGGGGGAGTGACTCAGGAGGCTGAGCTGAAGACGTGTATGTCTGGGACAGTGAATGCAGTCAGCCCCAAAATGAGACTGGTTATTCCTTTCCCACTTGGTTCAAAGCTGATTTTCAGCAATATATTAAATAACGTAAAACTCCTAAATGTAGAACTTTTTGTGCATCCAGTTCACCCATTTAAAATTTTCTCAATGGCAAAGTAAAAGTAATGGAATTAGGAATATATCTCCCAGAGATCTGGGACTTAAAGTCTCCTGATACCTACACCATTCTCCATAACAATTTCTTTGTAATGGAAAAATATAAATGCATCTCTGATAATAATGGAGCTTTAAAGTTTGCATTATCTCAAAAAAGGATGATGTTTTTCATCCCTATTTCCCAATATGAACAAAGCATCCTTTGAGGACCCCACATGAGATTAACCCAGCAATAAACCAGTGGTGTGCTGGTATGCCAGCTCTCAAAAGAAAAAAAAAAGGGCCCTGATTTGTAGTATTTGCCTATTCCCATGCTGTAAATCCTCTGACCATGACCATTTTAAAGCTACCAATATTTTAACAAATAGCTTTCAAATCCTTTGATTATTTAAAAATCGGCTCTCCAAAAGGGCGTAAGTCAAGTGATGCAAGCCAGCTCCCGCACACTGTATCACATAACTCAACAACCTAAGGATTCTTACCAGAAAGTAAGATCGCTTATTTAAAAAACTTGAGTAAGTCAATCAGAGTCCACAATGTTTTCATTCTAAACTGTCAAATACTTGCTTCCTGAAAATGTCACTAAAATAACCTGTTGAAAGAACACCTTTGTGTTCCTTGCTTACTGGGGGAGGGATATCACTTCCTTGAAAGATTATTTGTAGCATATAAAAAGAGATCAAAGATAGGCCATTTGTAACATTTTGGAGATTTGGAGTAAGCTGGTTTTTTATGAGTGGAGAGAAGGGTGCTTGATTAGGATAGATCAAGACATAACTGTTTAGGACTGGTGAGCAAAGCAAGGGTTTCACAGTGCATCTTGAAGAATAAACAGTAAGTTGATGTTACCTGTCATGCTGAAAAAGGATATTTATTCTGATGAAGGTAAATTGAGCAGCCTAGTGTTCAGATAGATGGATTTGGGGATAGTTCCTGAAACAAACAATAAAGTTATTTACAACTTTATCTTTTTTCGAAATAATTTCCTGGAATCTTAAAAATCATGCTAATGAGGTCAAATAGGCAAATTGTTTTAATGAACACAGCCAAATAACAAACTCCTGTGTAGTCGTGTCTATTCCCAGAACCAAAGGTCCATGAGCCTGAAGTCTTATCTCTGTGCAATTGATGATTCTCCTGTTAAGATTAGGAAGGGGTCACTGATTTCCCCCCAATCCTCACCCAAGTCATGGGGACATATATAGGTGATAAATGCTCTGAAGACACCAGCAGAAGCCTAACAAATATTCTGGAACTCCAAAATGGAGAAAGAATAGCAGGGTATAGGAAGGTTAGTCATTGGCCAGGCTGGTTAATGAGAGGATTCACACATGGTCCTTCCCCAAAAGTGATACACAATATCTGCCACGGACTCTTCTCTATGCAACACGTACTAATCTCCTTTGAAACGCAGATTGGTCAACACAGGGTCCTACTAACACATCATCTGTAATATTTAGTGTGGATGAATCATCAGTTTATTCATTGGTTCAATCTTGCACTCAAAAAATAAAGTGCTTATTAACTTTCAAACTGTAAGGAGGATGCAGTCACCAAGATGGACACAATATTTTAAAATATATTCAACAAAAAGGGAAAACCAAGCGGTACAGAATGTTATTGTCTGGCTACCCAGTCCCCACTCTTCATGAACTTCCAATCTAAAAAAAAGTTACATGTATGAAAGAAGCAAAAACATGCCATCCTTGCCAGCCCTTCCCTTAAGTACATTTATTTTGGTATAGGATGTCATATTATTCACTAGTTTAAGATGTATAAAGTGAGGGATGTTGCTGATGTGGAAGCATTTAAAACCATTATTGTCCTTGTTTTATTCTCTAAGCATGTAAGAGTGAAAGTGATTTTTAAAGCTTTTGTAAGAAGAGACATAAAATTACAATAGCAATGAAAAGATGCTCACATACAGGTGTCTGCACACACATGCCTGTGTAATGTCTTTTAAAATGGAAATGATGAGAAAATGGAGAACGTCACACTTTAAGTTGGACTAACTTATTCAACAAAAGCAAAGTTCTTGATAAAAAAGGGAGCAAATCATGCAACTGGTGAAACGATCCTGCAAATCAACAATCAACATTTTAAGAGTAAAAGAAAAGTGACTAACAAAATGATGTGTATGTATGGCTGGGGTGGTGGGGGGTCACTACTGTTCAAGCATCTCTGTCAAGTCCCAGTGTCTTTAAATATTTATTCAACAGGATGCTAGGAGGTCATTTAAGAAACTGAAGGTGAGCACAGTGACGTCCTGGTCCTCAGAGGTTCCAGAGATATGAGGCCTCTTTAAATCTGGTCTATAGAAGAGGAGGTTTCTGAGTGCTAATAATGTAGCTGAAAAGGAGTTTCCCAGAATACTCCCAGCATCACTGTGATGGTGATGGCTGGTGGGCTGGGTGGTCTTGGATTGCCTCCATGGACTTTTAGTTAAAACTAATTAATTTAGGATAAAATTTCCCAAGAAGGAGTATCTTCCTGAATCTGAAGGTTCTCATGCTCTGTTCTGCTGGTGACTCCAAGTCACTCCCCATTTGTGAACGTAAGGCCATCAAAACATATTTCAGAACCTACCAGTTTCTCACTGCGTCCTTCTTTATTTCACAGGCTTGCAGAAGGCTGACTCTAAGAGAAGGCAGACAGTTGGGTAGGAACATCATGGAGAGACGGGGAGGTGAGGGTTGTTTTCATGAGTCATTGCTCTCATATTTTGACCTTTAGAAAATGAGATTTAATGAGAGGTTAAATAGTTTGAAATACTTTCTTCTTTGGCATATTAAAGCAAACTTTTGAAAGGTTCTGTGCAGGGTTTTTTGAGTCTGATGTTAGCTTTTAAGTATCTCAAGAATAAATTGCTCAATGAATTTAAAATTAAACTTTGACTATCTGATACATCATGAACAAAATACACCATGTCCAGCTAAGCAATTTTAAACTTTTACTTGTAAAACACACATACATACATACCGCAAAATAGTTGGCAAAAATACTTAAATCAGACACAGATATTTTCCCCCAAATATCGAATTCAGCTTTATAAAATAAAAAAGAAACAGAGATATCAACCTTTAAACCTTATACCCAACAGATTTATCTTTTTCAAGTAAAATATATTGGAAATTAAGTTGAGTTAAAATATATATATGAAGGGATTAAAGAATCTGAGGGTAGTATCTTTTTTAAAACATCGTTAGTTTTAACAAAAGAGTAATGTTCCTTATAGCCATATTTAATAACATTCATCAGCAAAATGCAGGAAATCAAAATGAAAATCTCATGACCCAGAATAAATCACTATTTATGCTTTTATAATTATCCTTTGAGTCTACTTTCTAAAAAATATATTTTGTTTTCAAAAATGACCATATACCTTGTGACATCTTTTTGATTTAATCATATGTAAAGAATGTTAGTCCATGCTATTAAATATCATCCCACATTATTATAAATAACAATATATCTATTTTAATGTATGATCGTATCACCAATTATTTAACTTAGCCACCATCAACAGAAATCTGGATTATTCCCAATTATTTGATATTATTGAGTTCTATGATGAATAATTATTTTCTAAATGAAGTAGTCCAGAAGCCAAAATGTATTTCTAAAGTAATTTCAGAAATATTATACACTCCTAACAAAGATATGCAAATGCTTTTTTCAAATATCCTCATCCACATTATTAGCAATTTTTATCTTCGGAACTTTAACAGGTAAAAAATGACATCCAATCATTGTTATTGTGTGTGTGTGTGTGTGTGTGTGTGTGTGTATACATTACATATATATTTCCTTGATCATTATGAGGTTACAGTTTTATATGTTTATTATTTCCATTTCTCCTTTTGAGAATTGCTTGTTCATATCCCCTGCCCAATTATTGTCTTTCTTTCATTAATTCTAAATGCAATTGTATATGAAGGAATATAACCTCTTGCCTATCAACTCTCCAGCTAATACTCTTCCTGGTTTATTATCTGCCTCTCACTTTTGTTCATGGAGTTTTAGAAGCCTGTAAGTTTTAAATGTTTAAGAGTTGAAATCTGTTAAACTTATTAGCAATTTTTATTTCTGTGTCCAGGGTCCTGATTAAAAACTCTTTACACAGCCCAAAACATTCACTATATTTTCCTTATCATTTATATAATTCCCCAAAATACACTTGTCTTTAATTTCCCAGGAAATTATTTCAAGGAAAATGCAAGTTCTGTGAGCTGCTTTGCTTCCAAGTAAATAACCAGTTGCTGGGGGAACGAACACTAAATAGAAGTATTTCTGTATTCTGAAGGCTCAATGAGAACCAGACATCATTAAAATATGTATCTCAGCTTAAAAGAGCAAAGTTTACTAAATTGAGAGCTAGGGATAGTTTATGAACAAAGAAAAAGAACTTCCTCATATTTGTTAAAAAATGGAACATTAAAAATAATGCTAACAATCTTACTACACTTATGGACAGTGAATGCAATGGGGTGGGGGCTTGATAATATGGGTGAATGTTGAAAACACAATGCTGTTCATGTGAAACCTTCATAAGATTGTATATCAATGTTACCTTAATTAAAAAATAATAATGATAACAATATTTCAAATAAATAACCACAATTTAATTTCCCTTATCAGTCTATTTGGCCCCATGTAATCCTTCTCACTTCACTGGAGCTTTGGGTCAAACCGTCTGCTTTCATCATGAATATCTTCTTCAGGACTGAAAAGACTCCTAGTACTCCTAACTCCATCCATTGGTAAAATCTCAAAGTTGTCTAAATATTCAAAGCTCAGAAGGTTATATCCGAGTGTCTATTCTTTAAAATGTCAATAGAAAACCAGGCAGAGTCCACCCCACGAGACTCTGAAGCTGTCCTTCTTTGTTGAGTATATATTATACTAGTCTGTAGTTTATAGACTAGCCTTCAGGCAGTCATCTAAAGGAAGCTGAAACTTGTTCAATAATGAAACGGGATGGCTGTGCTCAGCTTATTATAAGGACCAATAGAATAAGAATGGAGGAAAATGATATTCTGTAATGGGGTACAATACATAACTATTTTATAAGGGTTTGGTCAATATTTTTCCTGAGAATAAAAATTATGAGAGCACTGATAAATCTCAAGGGTCATCTCATAAAATGCACAACTTCTGAAATATTTGTGTTAATAACATTTTACCTATATAAACTTAAGGGAAGATCGGACATCTCTTCTGATTTGCCGTTTATTCCATGTAGTTCTTACAGTAGTGCCAAACTAGTTGTGAAAAATGGAATATAACAAACACTCCCAATTATTTCTAAGCATCCTTCTATATAAGGAATAATAATAAATCTTAACTTTCTGGAGCCTTCTGGTAACTCTCAAATATAGCTTTACATGTAAAAAACATACTGATTTTATTTTTCTAGTTATAGAAAAAACTTGGCAGGTAAAATGAAAAGAGTTATTAGAGGAGATTTGGTTACTTATCTAATAGCATGATGGATGTTGAGAACTAGTTCTTGGTTATCAAAGTATCAATTAAATATTTTAAAATAACATCAAATAAAGTAATATGATTGTAAGGAATTCTAACTTTCACAAATAAGGAGCATTTGTTCCTTATTTTTGCTTTTTTAAAAAATAATTAAGGACATTATAGAAGTCAATAACAGAGCAGAGAAAATTATTCTGATGGGATATGGAGTCTCTACTATCTGAACAGATTTCACAGAGGTTGCCAAATAACATTTTTCTATTAAGAGCTATTCAGAATCCAAAGACTAACTTATGATTTTAATAGAGAAAAGGTAAATTCTAGTTTTTCATTAATATAATATTTGGCAGTAAAAGATTCACAAGCTCCTCTTTGTTCCTTAAATTACCTGGTGAATAAACTCTTCAAAATTGGACAAACTTTGGCAAAATTTTAATACATTTCATAGCTTCTTTACAGACTCAGATTTTATAATTCAAGGCAAATAAAATTCAATCTCCTCAAATCCTCTAAAACTTGCTCACATACTCAGATTTTGTCCTTCACTATGCTCTCTCATATTCTGGAACAAACTGACATGTTAGTTTAGGATAAAATCACTCTCCTTTTTTCTTGGAAAACAAAAGTATATGCATAGTTGTATTTCTCTCTCACTATGACTCCTATAGTCTCAAGTACCCATATTAATTGTAAATTTTAATTAAAAAATAGCTTCTATTTCATAGAGCAATCTAGAACATAGAAAATTAAGAAATGTATCATATTTAAGGATTTTATCAAACAAAACTCATGAACACTGATAATAAAACTTTCCAGGTGTACATATCCTTTGCACCTTTATAACATGGCAAAAATAAAACATTCATTAACATGAATATCTCAAGGATATAGCCACTTCAGAGGGTATCAAAATTAGATGCAAAAATATACAAACTTAAACTATGCTTATTAATTAATGTTTCAGTATCAATAGTGCTTATAAATCATCTGTGTATCCATTGATTATCTGATTAATGCAATTTTTTAAATTCCAGTTTTAAGTTACCTACAGATCTTGGAAATGATGTTCTAATTGACAACTACAGAAATAATTACTGCTATAAAAATATTTATCAGAATTATGAAGACAAATCAATATTTTTATAATTTAAGCACTGTGTATCTGTAATATTAGTTCCCTTGATCAAGGTAAGAAGCTTAGGAAGGTCATATTAAATTAGTCTCACCATGAAAAAACAAACCAAATTAATTTTAAATTAGATACCCGTATATATACACTTATATGCCATATTATACTGAACACTGATGAATCAAAAAAAATTATTAAACCAGTCTAATTTGTCAAAGGAGTTAGCTTATGTGAACTTAGATTCTTAATATGTTACTGAGCTAGAAGTTTCTGTAAGAAGTGTTTTTTTCCCTCAAAAGACTAGTGCATTTACAGTAATAAAAGCTTAGTTTATTTACTCTGTGAAATCTGGGACTATTTGACTTATATAAGCACTGTTTATCTCTAAAAACCAATCAGAACAAGAGTCCTTTAATTTAATAGACATTGTGATCTAATTTATTAATACCCTCCAGAAGTAGAAAATATCTCACATTCACACACAAGAGGTAAAGGTTTTATTGAATTACAATTCCACAAACATAGCTTTTAGCCCAGTTATACAATTCAGCTGCAGAGTGAAAGTAATCCCAGAAACACAAAAACTCACCAGTTTCGATCTCAAAAGCTGTTGCCCTTCCCGGTGTTCACAAAATACTTTTCAGTTTATTTGAGTCCACACATAGGCAAACAGAAAAAGATGAACGAACCAAATTCTGTTATCGCTCACCCTGCAGAGCCTAGATTTCCATCATCCATTTGACAGAGATTACCGATGGCCAAACCATGAAACCCAATTCCCAACCATTGCTGCCCCCACTGGGGAATGACTTTATTGACCATGCAGGAAACAGAAAAGAGCAAAACCACAAAATCAATAGAGAGAGAAAGAACAAAAATAATAAACTGGAGAAACAGAGCATCAGCAAAGTTAAACTTGTATTGCCTCTTGTGATTTACTCCAAGGAAAGACACGCTCAAGCGGAAGCAGCTCTCCAGGTGACCTCTCCAACGAAGCCGCTCTTCAGGTGAGCATACCTGGGCGTTTCGGTGGCTGATCTCCAAAACGCTTACAGGAAACATTTTCAAAAAGGTGAAACCATGATTCTTATGTAATGTAACTCAAGCATTTGTTGGTGATTTTTTCACTCATTAAACACTGAGAAAACCAGTAAAATGTTTTTTAAAGGGTTCAGAGGGAATTGAAAAAGGGAGGTATAAGCAGGCAATTTAGTGAAAGAATGTTGAGATAAAATTGCTAGGTTAGATACAGACCTGCTTAATGTCTTACAGAGCCCTAAACTGTACCCTTAGGGGATTATCTGTTCAACAAGACAGAAATTATTTTCTTCTCTATCAGATAAAAATGTGCACATGAGCCTCAGCCACTTACAGACTTGACAAATAGTCCAGTCAATCTAAAGTCAGGTCCTGCCCTGCACAGAAAACACACCCAACAATCTCTTCTATCTATTTCCAGCTTTTGGACCATTTTTTTCTGATAGAGCTCAAGAATTTTTACTATACCTCAATATATCTTTTTTCATGCACCCTCCTGGAATCTGGTAACCCTTTCAGTGTGTGGATTTAGCCACAGGACCGTTTTAGTGCAGCAGGTAGAATATTAGAAACAGACACAGCAATTCAAAAGAATTTCAAGAGAACAAATCCAGAACAACCTCTTCATTTTGTGAAAGCCTGAGTTTTAACTTTCTCTCATTGCACCAAAAGCTGCTCTGGCACAATATGGCTTTAGACTTAACCCACTCTTTAAATACTCTACCCTCCAAAGTAGGGACATTTCAAAGCAGGGACATTTCCTCCTACTATTTAATTATTGACTCTCTTCAGTTCCTCCGTCTCCTTCTGGAATCCCTACAATGAGTATAATTACTCACTGGGTCTTATAGAGCCAACCTTATCTCTTCCCTTCCATCTCGTGATATTTCCCACAAATTTCTGTCCTGAAAATGACTTTCTTCTCCTTCAAATCTGCCACTGGAAAATCATGATTGTCAATTACAGAAAGTCTTATTGGTGCTATACTTGAATTTCCTTAAATGTTCTGATTATTTTTTGCTTAACTTATCTTCTATCTCCTCCTACAATTCTATTTTGCAATTGTAGGAGGGCCCTTTAGATCACTTGTTTTGTTGTTGTTCTGTTGACTCATTGAAGCTCATGTCTAACACTTACTCCTGCCTAGAGAGACTCGGCCCACTCATTCAGCTGATTTGGCTCTGCTGTGGGCTGGAACATCTGGCGTATTTATACAAAGTTGATTTTAATTCCCCTTATCCTATTCTGAGCAGGATATGGTGCCCACAGGCCTCTGCAGGTCACGCTCTTCCCAAGAGCCTCCGCTTTGCCTCAGAGGCCTCTCTTCCCAAGTTCTTACTTAGCCCTCAAAGAAGAAACGGCCACACCACTCTACTCACTGGGATTCCCACAGCCGACGACCTCCCTTGGGACCAGCTACCAGCCATGCGGCTCAGCAGAGGCAAATAGGTTGAAGTTGGGGTAAAGGCAAAGAAGTAGGATTTCACTCACCACCTTTCAGAATTCTTCCCCAGGTACAACTTCAAATTCTCCTTCACTGATGCTACCTGAAACCCCCGACACTCTGTTAGCCCTTGATGTTGTATGTACAGTGGGGTAGCAGGGAGGAGGATGTGAGGTTGGAGATTGTTCTTGAAATCAACAGGAAGCTCATGAAAATCAAACTGTTTAAACTGAGAAAGCTAAACTGTGTCTTCATTTAGCTTGAAATAAACAAAGTGGTCATGACTAGAGGATATTGCCAACTCTCAGGGTGACACTGGAATCGGGTTACCCACTCGACCAGTACTTTATCATTCAACGAGTTTGTTTTGTTTATATTTTTGTTGAATTCCTGTACTTCGGAGGGTACAGTATTTAAAGAGTGGGTTAAGTCTAAAGCCATATTGTGCCAGAGCAGCTTTTGGTGCAATGAGAGAAAGTTAAAACTCAGGCTTTCACAAAATGAAGAGGTTGTTCTGGATTTGTTCTCCTGAAATTCTTTTGAATTGCTGTGTCTGTTTCTAATATTCTACCTGCTCCACTAAAACGGACCTGTGGCTACTCCACAGGTGAAGGCCCCTCCCTGGGAAGGCCCCGTGTGGATGCCTAGAACAGCACTTGTCTAGGCTTTGGAACAAACCATTCTCCTCTCTGACTTCAGTACAGTCTTACTCGGGTGTCTTTCTTTTCCTTTTTGCACCCACTGTGTGCTGATATCCAGACAGCTGACATCAGCATATGAGCTTCACGGACAGACACCAGGGAGGCCTTGACTGTTCTGTCATGGTTGTCATGCTTTCTAGTGTGTTTGTTAAGGTTTATATTAACCGCTTAGGTCTGAGTGCTCTAGATTAAAAACATTCTTTGTGACGTGGTACAGCTCAGCTCCCAAGGAAATTAAATTTAAGTATGGAATTAAATCTCCCGCTATTTATAGTCTAGCTGTGCTTGAATTTCTCTCTCACATATCACCTCTGCGATCTGGTGCCAGAGTTGGAGACAGATCGCTAGTGGTACTCTGCTTAAGATAATGGGCCTAGCTTTGTAAAGGTGGAAAATGACACATCCTTCAGGATTACATAAGGCAGCTCCAATGGCCCTAAAAAAGATTTTATGGCTTCATAAAGATGCAAACTTGAACCATTATCAATACGATTAGAACCTTGAAATGGGTTCAGACTTTCCTGCCTTTTTCCCACTTGATGTCCATTATTACTCAGAGATGCAATAGGAAAACAAACCTGGTCGAATATTTGAACAGTAGTTTGATTCTGCCTTTTTTCCTTTATGCACAGAAAACGTTGCTTGCTTTCACTTTGACTGATTTGCAGCTTTAATATCTTTTTACTGTTTATAAAAATACAAAAACATAAGGAAGAGTATAAAAATCATTCATGATCTTGTAACTAGAAATAACTTCTGTTAGCATTTTGTTGAATTGACTTTCAGTCATATATATATATATACATATATAAAGAGTTCAGTCATAAATATGTATTTATTTTATTCAATGATTTGCACAAAGTAGAGCTAGTTAATGACTATAATCAAGTTTTTTAAATCATATTTGAACTTACATGTTTTTTTCTAATTATTATAAGTCCAATAGTGGTATAGGTATTAGTATAATAGCCTTTTCCTTCCCAATCCTTGCCAATACAGCCTGAGAATGTATACCTAAAATAACATCAGATTGTTTTCATTCTGTCTTCTATTTTTTATTCCTGTATTTCACTGATGTATCAATTTAAAACAAGTGCCTGGGCTTTACTCTGTATATATGTCTGGCATCAGTGTTCTCATCAAGGTCCTTTAGAATCACTATAATTTTTTATCATTATAATAACCTGTTTCTTTTTCTGGCTTGAAAATTTTTTATTGTTTTTATACTGGAAATTCACACTTTTACTATATGCCCAGGACTCCTCATTTTATTCATTTTCCCAGAACATTTTCCTCAATATATGGTTCCACGTATTTTTTTTTCAAACCCAGAAACTTTTCTTTATGTATGTTTGGTTATACACTTAATTATACCTTCTACTCTACTTATTTCATCTCAAGAGTGTCAGCTACTCATAGCTTCATATTCTGTCGACCAAATCAATAATTTTCTTAGAATTTTCATTTTTTTTCTGCATTATCTCTTCTGCAGATTTTAATTCTGCAATGGGATCTTAATTTCTATGTCTTCTTAACTGGCAGTTTTTTTAAAATCTTTATCAATTCCCCCTTCAAATACCCTTTCATACATACCGTTGTGTCTTTTAATAACTAAAAGGAAGTAAGTTATCTTCTTTTGCTAGGATGATCTTTCACACATATTCTTTTAATAGTACTTTGTAGCAGTGGGTCCCCTCTTTTACATTCTGTAGGACCTTTTTTAAGGTTCTGTTTGGTGGTTTTCCCTTTATCTACATTTGAAGGTGGAGAAATTTTAACCAGGTCTGGTGATTGCCAAGCAGCAAGGCAGTCCAAGTGTTTTTTTATAATTTTTAAAATAATAGCCAGTTCACTCAATGTTGCACCAGAAGTTAGACAAGTTCCAATGAATATGGGCTTTTCTTGAGCATTTGGGACAATCAGAATTCATAGAATCTCTGCTTACTAGGACGTTTGCCAACTTTTGGGCTCTGACTGAATAAGCCCCCTTCCACACAAGCAATGAGACAGGGTAGCTAACAAGATTACCAATAATGACCACAAAGGCCAACAGTAATAGGAAAGTGGTTGATGAAGTCTGGTTTTCATCTCACGTGAGCTGAAACTTCCTTGTCCTTAATTTTTACCTTGAGAGACTTTCCATTCTCCCCTTCAAGCATCCCGCCTCTCATTTTCATCATGAATATGATGGATGAAGGAAAAACATTTTCTAAATTGAATACAGAGAATATTGTATTTCTAACTATATTCTTACTTATTCACTAGAGCATGGCTAAAAAGCAAGACGTTCTAAATAGAGATGCTAAGGCATTGGTGAACCATCTACTTTCTCATGTCATCAATTATCATGACTAATAAATTAATTGTACTGATTGGCTCCCTACAGCTCGGCATAGGATGCATTTCCTCATATATTGATAAACTGCCATTTATCATTACTCTTTAATTATCATTGTGCAGCCAGCTTCCAGTACCCAGTGAATCGGCAATGCCTCAAAAGTCAACTAGCATCAAATTTCCTAGATCCATTTTTTTAAATTATTAATTCATTCACTTAATTAACATCACTACCATTAACCTTTACTCTAAGCACCATTCTTGGCTTTGTGATAATTATATCACAGACCTTGCTTTCATGATAAAACAGGAATAATAATTATTTGACCAGGTGTTTATGAAATGCTACACAAAAAAACATGATAAAGTGGCAGATACAGAAGTAGGAAAAAGTGCTTCCATCTGAAGACATTAAGGAAGATTTCATAGAGGGCTTAGTATCCGAGCTTAACT